ACCTCGGTGGGTGGGTGGGTGCAGGCAGCAGACGCAGTGGAGCTGGCGGCACAGGGCTCCTGCCTGGAGGGTGCAGAGGGCTGGGCGTGTGCGCTCCCTGTCCCTGGGTGGGCAGTCGGGAGCCACCTGGCACATGAGCACCCACACTATCGACCCTGAGACAAGCAGAGAACTTCAGGGAGCGGGAGGGGCTTGGTCAGTTAGGGGTGGGGTGGGGGTGCCAGAGGTCGGCGCCCAGCATTTGCCTGTCCGTGAGTTGGCAGTCGGGCCCCACGTGGATGCCCTCAGTGGGCCAATGGTACCTGCAAATGACCGTCCCAGCCAGGGCACTGGGGAAGGGGGGGTGTAGGTACCCCTCCTGGGGTGGAGGTGTGACCCGCTGTCCTTGTCCTTTGCAGTTGAGAGCTCGGTGCTTGGCAGCCAGACAGGATGGGGCCACGTGCTCAAGGAGAACCACCTGGTTCAAGTCTGGTGAGACGCTTTGTACCTTGTTTCCTAAAATGTTTCCGTGTGAGAGTTGACCTGTGTGGCCCTCGGTCAGCAGCGCACGTGTTGGGGCCCAGTGGCCGTGGGGAGGGAGGGCTGGCTGGCAGTGCTGGGTGGGGTGGCTGGTAGTGAGGCCCCTTGACCTCTGGAGGCAGAGCTCCCTGCCTGTGCGGTGGTGTCGGTGACTGCTGGCCAAGGACAGCTCGCCCAGGAGCTGGGTCCTGTAGGACGGCGAGGACTCGTCCCCTCACCGACCTGTGGGTCAGGAGTGGCTGGCGGTGATTTCTGAGGTACAAGCTCTGGCTGCTGGCAGGAGGCCAAGTCCTCACAACACCTGGCTCCCCCAAAGCCCTGTGACCCTAGTGGGGAGCGGGGGCTTCTGGGAGATGGCAGGACGTGTGTTGTTGCCCTCGATCTCTGTGGCCCTTGGTCCAGGTTTGGGAGGGAGCATCTGTGAGGACCGTCGCCTTGAATGTTGGCTGTTCTTGCTGCCACGGGGGGCAGGGCGGGGGGCTTGGTGAGCTGAGGGTGATGGCCCAGCCCGGGACGCGCTGCAGGGTCCTCAGAATCTGGTTTTCTTTCCACAGATGGGGCTCCTGTGGACCAGCCCGGCGGTGCCGCCTCGGGTCGAGAGCAGAGCGCGTGGAACGGGCTGCCTGGCTCACATCACAGCAGACGGACAGACAGACAGACGCACCTTGTGCTGCTGGTCGCAGCATCTCCTGCGGGCGGGCGGGGCTGGGAGCCCTGGCAGAAGCGCGGGTGGGCGGAGTCGTTTGTGCCGGATGCTGGGGAGGCAGCGGATGCACCGCCGGCCGCTGTTGCTGGGGACGCTCATTCACATGTTCCGAGGGGGCAAGGTGCCGGGTGACCCTGCAGTTACATGCGTGTGTCCAGGTTCTTGAATAAAGGAAACCGTGTTTGTTCACGGACTGCGCGTTGGTCCAGGGAACGAAGGAGACTCCCTGGGTGTGGTGGTCGTTCCACGGTGCAGTGTTGGGGGCACCACGTGGTTTTAAGCTGCCCGTGTGACGGTCTCCAGCACGAGGCCCACTGTGCGGCGAGGGGACTCGTTGCCCATTTAAATGAAGTGTCACCTCGTGCCTGTGGGAGGACGGGCTGCCCGTGGCCGTACCAGTTGGGGGGAGGGGCGGGGACAGTGTCGTGTGGCCCTCACCATAGGTGACACCAGACAAGCTTGTTGGTGGACTCAGGAAGTGGGTCATGGGAGGGCTGGTGTGCTCCCCGGGCTTCACAGAGGAGCCTGTGACCACTGCCCCTTCAGCGGCCCTCACCATACGTGACACCAGACAAGCTTGTTGGTGGACTCAGGAAGTGGGTCATGGGAGGGCCGGCGTCTCCCTGGGCTTCAGAGGAGCCTGTGACCACTGCCCCTTCAGTCCTGTGTCCCCTCCAGGGAGCCTTGCGGGTCCAGAGGGGCAAGCCGGCCGCTCACGGGTTCTGGGTCTCAGGCCGGGTCCTTCCAGACTTCAGGCACCAGAGCATCTACAGGGCTGCCCGGGGAAGGTTCTCGCCTCCTATACAGCCCGGGACTGTCCCCTCCAGGGAGCCTTGCGGGTCCAGAGGGGCAAGTCAGCTGCTGACGGGTTCCTGGTGGCCAGGGCTCTGCAGTGTCGGTGCCTGAGGGGCTGACCCTCAGGCCGGGTCCTTCCCGACTTCAGGCACCAAAGCATCGACAGGGCTGCCCGGGAAGGTTCTCGCCTCCTGTGCAGCCCGGGACGGGCAGCTGGGGGTCCTGCTCAAAGCCTGTCCCCTCCTGCCCAGTCCTGTGCCGCTTCCTGGCCTGACACGGGGTGGGGACACTGCTGTGTTGGGAACCTGGCCAGGCGAACAGCCTTCTGACCCCAGTGGTGTGTGAGAGGGTCTCACTGTAGTGACCCTGCCCGAGCTGCTTGGGGTGGAGGGTCTTTCACCGGGAGCACCTGGGGGCTGCACACACTTCCCTGGGCACATGTCAAGCAGTCCCACTTGTCCTTGTGCCGGCCTGGCTTCTCTGCTCTGGGGGCACCTCCAGCATCCTGGTGTCACCAGGGGTCCCCGTGTCGCTGGGGTTACGTTCTCACCCTAAACATAACAGACACATGAGAGGTCACTTCCAAATAGAGTAACTTTTCAGGCATCCAGGACACCTTTTCTAGGTTTTTTCATACCTCTAGGCTAGTGGTCGGCAAACTCATTAGTCAACAGCCAAATATCCACAGCACTTCTTCAAATAGACTCTCCCAGGCCAAAAACCGACTTCAGCACATGGGCCACGAAGTGTCAATCGCACAGTACGCGCCCGTGTCGCTGGGGTTACGTTCTCACCCTAAACATAATGGACACACGAGAGGTCACTTCCAAATAAAGTAACTTTTCAGGCACTCAGGACACCTTTTCTAGGTTTTTTTCATACCTCCAGGCCAGTGTTCGGCAAACTCATTAGTCAACAGCCAAATATCAACAGTACTTCAAAAGAGACTCGCCCAGGCTGAAAACCGACTTCAGTGCATGGGCCACGAAGTGTCAATCACATGGTACGCGCGCCCGCACGTGGTATTTTGTGGAAGAGCCACACTCAAGGGGCCAAAGAGCCGCATGTGGCTCATGAGCCGCAGTTTGCCGACCACGGCTCCAGGCTATGTGGTTCGGCTGTTTTTTTAAACTTGCAAAATCAAAATTTCCAATACAGTCTATTGAGGGAAATCCGCATCTAGCCCGGCCAGTGTGGCTCAGTGGCTGAGCGTCCACCTATGAACCAGGAGGCCAAGGTTAGATTCCCCGTCGGGACACATGCCCGGGTTGTGAGCTTGATCCCCAGTTGGGGAGATCAATGATTCTCATTGATGTTTCTATCTCCCTCTCTGAAATCAATAAAAATATATTAATACTTTAAAAAATCCACATCTAAGTGGCCCCACACATTAAGGCAGTGGTTCTCAACCTTCTGGCCCTTTAAATACAGTTCCTCATGTGGTGACCCAACCATACAATTATTTTCGTTGCTACTTCGTAACTGTAATGTTGCTACTGTTATGAATCGTCATGTAAATACCTGATATGCAGGATGGTCTTAGGCGACCCCTGTGAAAGGGTCGGTCGACCGCCAAAGGGGTCGCGACCCACAGGTTGAGAACCGCTGCATTAAGGCGAGCGGAGCCTCTAACTGCCCAGAGCGCAGTCCTACACGTGGACTCCACCCCAACGGGGATCTGCGTACAATAGTTACACTGGAGTCTAAGGATGAGGCGGGAGGGTGAGCGCTAGGAACACGGGTGTTAGTTGGGCCCGGCCCCCATCCAGGTGGGGGCTGGACCAACCAGGAAGGTCTGCCTCCAGCATCCTGTCACCCCCTCATCCCATATAACTACCCAGGGCTGGCTCTAGGAGTGGACCAGGCAGACTCCGCCCCTGAGGCCTCCGGTAGCCTTGACCCTGAACTGGAGTGCTCTGTGCAGGAGGCGAGGGCAGGCCCAGGCGGCCGGGGGGGGTCTGGACGGCAGGGGCCTGGTCCAGGGCACAGTGAGGGGAACAGCACTCACAGAAAAGCTATTTATTTACATCCGTGATCTTGAAAGTCACAAAACCCAACTCAGCCTGGGCGGGGTGCCTTGGCCAGCCCTTGGGTTCCAGGTCCTCCTTCCTGCCTCCCCTTCCAGCCCCTCGTTCCTGCTCAACGGTCCTTCCATCTGGGCTGCTGGACCCTGGGGAAGGGCGGCACGGCGAGGGGCCCCTGGTCACAGGAGCCACTGGGCTGGACAGCCCGGCCCCTGCAGCCTCGCCTTCG